GACGGTCCATGGGGCCCCGGGGGCGCAGCCGAGACCCGCGCGGGACCCTTGGCGCGGCGGGGCGGCCGAGCCCGGCTCTGAGGACCCGCTCGGACCCCCCCGAAGTGCGACGCCCGAGTCCACGTGAGTGCTTTGCGATGGAATTTCAGTAGGAAAACTTGGGGCAGCTGATGGACGGAAAGGGAGAGACCGAGGGGAAGAAAGGAGGCGCAGGTGGGTGCCGCCTGGGTTCGCCCCGGTCCGCTTCTCCTCTCTGGGGACGGCGAGAGCGGCGACTTTCGCCAAAGCCTCGGCCACTTCATGCTGCATGAAGGCCCAGGCCGGCAGGGGGACACTTCTGAGCCGCCCCGTTGCCACCATGAGGAGGACCTTCTGGCTCCCAGCCGTATTTAAATTGATGCAGGCTTATGCAGTGAGATCGCGGAGGTCAGCCTTTATATAAAGTCATTCAGCGCGAGCTTTCTTGTCTTATTTTCGAGGCGAGGGCACTTGTGCACCGACTGTAAAGTAAGTCGATCGAGTCTGAACTCGCTTTTTGCAAAATAGGAATGACCCCGGTGTGGAAAAGTTGGTGGCACTTTTGCCAAGGGCCATGTCTGGCCCTCGCGGTTACGAAACCCCTCGGTGAAAAGGCACCGGGTTCCTTGCGTCTCTGTTTGAAATGTGTTTCTACAGATTTGTCAGGGATCCTGGCTGATTCCTAAGGAAGCTTCCTGAAGCTGTGATTGTATTTTTCCTTCTAACTTGGAGGCACCGAGTGTGGCACAGATGAGATGAAATGAGGGTGAAAGGAAAGGGTCACCATTCCCAGGGTCTGAGCAGACAGCACTTGCAAATGCAGCTTCCATTCTGTCTGGGCGGCAGCGGCCGCCGGAGTGCGTTTCCAGGCCGTGTGTGTGCCTCCCTCTCTCACACACTCACAGGCTCCCACCCTGCTCCCCGAGGAGCTTTGAGATGCCTCGGTTTAAACTTGGAGACACAAACCTGTATTGAACACACATCTCCTTACCACTCGGATCAACTTCTGTTAAAAGCAAAAAAAAAAAAATTATGGAAGTTGAAAATATTTATCACGCATAATATTTCAAGTTTGGTGGAAATTTAAAGGCTATTGAGGATTGGTTCACTTTGGTTATGGGTTGATCGGAATCCACAACCTGTAGGAAATGCTCTGAGCGTTTGTTTGAAAATGTTTATTTGATGAGGTTGTTTGGATGGATTCACCTTTGATACGGGATTTTTAAATTGACATCTGGTGTTACTTACACTGAATGTGCCAGAATCATTTCGGGGGACAAATCAGATTATTTGCTAGGTGGCTGAAAATTTAAACAGTCACAAATATCTGTGGCCAGGAGGAATATACTTGCCTGTACCTTAGGACATACAGAGAGTGTTATAAAATAATTTGTCCCCGTGGATGTAAACAGTGGTGTCACATTTTAAAATACTATGCGATTTGGGTTTGATATAATGCATCTGCTATCAGAACTTCCCATGGACATACATGTTTATTCCTTTTTTAACGTGGGGGAAAAAAAAGTGCTTCTCGGTCTCAAAGTCCACCAGAGCTGAAGACACAAACATATTACAGAGCTGAATGGTCAGGTTTTCTGCCCCTTCTGTTTCGTGGTGATAGTTGAAGGGAGGAGTTTGAGACGCCCCACCCGGCTTATGTCTTCATTTCATCCTTCTTTTAATTAAAGGGCTGCTTCTTGGAAAACTCGGCATTCTCTGGAATTCAGAAGCACCGTAGTAATGACAGCCCTTCATCAGGGTCTCGGGGGGTGCGCCGTCCGGTCCGTAAATGAAAGTGTGTGTGTGTGCGCGCCTTACGTCTTTTGAGAAGTTTGCCCCGAGGAGAAAAGAGTCTTGCAGCCATTTCTCTTGTAAAAAAAAATTAAGATCACAGCCAACTTCCTGGCCAGGAGGCCTGCCACCAGCCGAGCTGGGGAGCTCTGCGTCTTCCTCACTCGCCTGGGGACTCAGAGTTTGCGGAGAGGTGCCCTTTGCTTTGGGGACCTTCCCCCTCCACCCCCACCCCCCACCCCGCGCCCTGGGACTTGGATGTGTGTGTGTCCCCGTTTGGTTGGCCTGGTAGGATATGGTCAGTGTGAACGTCAAGCTCTTGAGGTCGGAGAGGACACGAGGTTTATATACATTGTCTACTACGAGCCATGCTGTGAAAGCCACACCCCACACACACGCCGCTTATGTGCAGCCTGGTGCGTATTAATAGACACAGGAAATAAAGACATTATGCGAGCGTGTGCACACCCGGCGTGGGGAGAGACGCGTGGGGGGGGCTGGGTGCCACGGGCCTTCAGCATCAGACGCACCTGACCTGAGTCATAAAACCCCCCCTTTTGGAATTTCTTCCTTTTCACCTTTTGCTAAGACAAGGCGGGTTTTCCGACTTGTGCAACGGTGAGCGTTGGTCCAAGGATGTTAGCCCTTTGAGGGGTGTCTGCCTCAGACGCCGGCAGTTAGCCCCGAATGCGTCAAGCGTGGCCGCGTCCAGGGGCATTTTTGTTTTCTTTCCTCTCCCCTAATCTTTGTAATTATGAAGTCGTCTCGCTGTGAAATAAGTAATGGCTTCCTGGCCTTGTTGGAACGGGGAGTCAGGTGCTCCAGGCCCCAGGGAGCGAGAGAGCGAAGACCCTTTTGGATGGTTTCCTTGCTCTTTCTACATGAATTTTTGGGCGCTGTGACTCCTGCTTGTGGCCACGAGATGGTTAATGTCAGTCCCAGTCCCCGGTGGGGCCACTGGTGTGTGCAGGGCCCTCAGACGTGTGGACTGTCCTTCCATTACCGGGGAGCAATCAGCGATGCATCCTTCGAGGCTTACGAGGAGGGACTGTTCCATTTTCGCTCAAAACAGGCACCCGTCCAAGTGGGATCTGGACAAACACATTTCAAGTGCAGCCGAGGAGGCAGCGGGCAGTGGGGCCCCCCAGGGGCCGGATCCCAGGCCAGGGCAGCAGCTCTGAGTGTGGTGGGGCCCAGACGCTGACGCTGGCTCCTTCGCGTAGACCCGGGTGACTGGCGCTCCTGGCCGTTGAATAAATGAGTCCCCTCCCCTGCCCCCGTTATCTTTCTGCCTCTCCCGCGATGTCTGTTCACGCCCTTCCACGTTCAGGGTGTTTGTTTTACTCGCCTGTCTTTGCCAGAGTTTTGAAATGCTGGGTGCTGTTCTAAAGAACATGTCTGAGGCGCTCTGAGACGTTAAGAGGGAAGGCTGCGGTCAGGGTCACAAGCAAAACAGCAAACCAAAGAGGCTTTGCAGAAGGATCCCAAGTGGAGAGGTGGGCAGGGCCGGCCCTGCGTGGTGTGTGTCGCTGGGGGTCTCTGCCGAGAAGGGTCTGGTGGGGGGGCCTGTTCAGTTGGTTTTTTTTTCCTTCTCCAGTGTTACTGCAGGGAACAGGTACACGTCCTGTGTGCCTCCCATGGCCAAGTTAAACGTGGTGAGGACTCCAAGTCCCGGGCCTGGGGGCCACTGGTCATCCCTGCCCCAGGCCTGGTCCTGTTTCCCTCCTCCCGTGGCCTGCGGGGGAGCTCACGCTGCCTGTTGAGTAAAAGCTCCCTCTCCCGCCCCCCGCGAGCCCATCGGAGCCGCCGACGTCCGCATCATCTCTGAACCCGATTTGGTCAGGACAGGAAACTCAAGCTCCCTTCCTGCCCGTGTTTTCCTGAGAGAAAAACACTCTTCCCTCCTTTTTTGCATATTTGGCAAGTCGGTCCACCTTCCTCTCCGCCCCAGTGGAGTGCGGGCCAGGCGCTGGTGACGGAGGGTCCCTTCCCGGTGGCGGAGTCGAGGGGGCTCTGGGCAGCCCGGGGTCCGCAGACCCCAGCCCTCAAAGGTAGGATTGGGTGGGAGAGGCAGCCCCCTCCCGGGGTCCCTGGGAGGCGCCGGCTCCTCGGTGAGTGTCGCTGGTTTCTTTGCTGCCTCAGCCTGGATGGGCCACCTGCCGTCTTCCCGGCGGGTGGCGGCCTGGGTCCCAGCACCTGCCGGGCACCCCCACCCCGCGGGGCTGTCTGAGGGTGATGGAGAGCCCCATCACGCGCCAGTTGTTCTCCCTCGGCTTTCGGATGGTCCCACGCGCCACCTCCTGATGGCTGGTGGCCCAGGGCCACTGCGTAACGGATGGCTTCAAGCAGGCCCTCATTAGTGGCGAAGGGCCCGCTTCGTTTTCTCTCATTCAAGTGTGCAATGATTCATGTCTCTTCAGCAGCCGGCTCACTGCTGGAGGAAATCTGAGTCCCCTTCCTGCCGGTGTTCGCACCAAAAGCTGGCTGCCATGGACGGGCAGCCGGGAGCGAGCCTCCAGGGTGTGCTGCGTTGGGGACCCGAGGCTGTTCCTTTGGGGCCCCCCAGCCCTTCCATCCTCCCTGCCCCTCCGCCTCTGACTCTCCTCCGCCTTTCTTCCAAGTGTGGGGTTTGGGCTGAAACCACTAAGAACTGCTTACACAGTTTTTGAGGGACCCCATCCACGCTGACATGGACGTCTGTGTCCCCATTTGGGAGGTCACAGACACTCCCAGGCGCTTTTCCGGCAGTCTGAAGCTGTCTAAAATCGAACAGCGTGGTTCGGATCCGAGTCCTTTTCTAAAGCGATGCGTTCCAGTATGAATTTGGATTCCTGAGTTTCGGGCCCATTTTGGGGGTTACATCAGGTTTTCACGGGCAAACATGGAGCAAAGGGAACAGGACATGAGATCCTTCCCCTCGACCTGATTGGGGAAAAAAAATGTTTCTCTTAGAATCTTGAGGAGGAATGAAAATGAGGCATTGATCTTTCATAAGCTGACTTCTGAGGCACTCTGAAGTGTCCCCTGGGCTCTTAATGGAAACTGCAAAGTACCAGTGGCTGCCCCCCTCCGGCGCGAGCCCACTTTTAGCCTGAAAAAGTGACCTTTTTCCCTCCTCCTTTTCTGCTGAGTTTTGTGCAGGGCAGAAAATTAAAGTGTTGTTCGAACAGGTTCACGGTGACAGCAGATTGAGAAATTGTGTACCCTGCTTCGTTACATTAAAATCCGACTGCTAATGACCTCAGCTTGTTAGAGATAAGGCCATTAATTACCATTTAAGAATCATGTGATCCCACTGGCACCACCAAAAAAAAAAAAAAGAAAAAAAAGAAAAAAACCCATAAAAATAAAATTTAAAAAAATGGTTTGGAAATTCCTAGTGCATTTCTGTGTTTCCTCGCTTCTGCCTAGACTGATGGGTGTTCAACCTGCATTAAAAGACTTTCTTTCAGTTTAATTTGGAGCAGACAGGCCTTTGTAAAAGAAATGCAGCTTGCTGCAAAAATAAATAAATTAATAAAATCACTGAAAGTCAAATATTGAAAAGAAAGAATTTAAACTTAAGGGCCGCAGAAGAATTCTGAGTGGACTGTTTCAGATCTTTTCCCTGCATGTTGCTCCCGTGAATATTTCTGCCCGATTATAAATAGAGACAAGCTGATTTCTGTAGCCCTGCGAATGAGGAAGTTGTAAGTTTCTGTGAGGTTCCACTGATGACACCCCCCTCCCCCTGGGTTTGCATGAAGACGATGCAGACGAAAGGTTGTGGGTTACAGCCTGCGCCCCGAGCAGTCCTGGTTGGGCCCGCCACCCTCTGGGACATCGTTTTCCGCACGGACCCTGTTACATGTTCTGCGGTGCTGGGTTTGTCCTCAGGGCCCTGCGGGCTTTGGTGCTGAGCTCTGTCCATCACAGACAGAAATGGAAGTCTAGAGCGTGCTTTGCTGGGTTGCTCCATCCGAGAGCCAGCTCAGAATAGCAAATAATCCTGTGTGCGTCGTCCGTCGCAATCACTGTGACCAGATCGTGGGTGCCCGGAGCCTCCCCAGACACGGTTTAACCCGACTTCGGCTGAAGCGTGTGAAGCCGGGGTGAGCGAAGGAAATCCCCCACGTACTGAAGCTTCTGAGACACTGAGCGATGGTTAAGGAAACCTGCGTTTTGAATCTATGTTCTGTAGACGGTGAAAATCGATTGGAAAAGCAAACACAGATGGTTTTTTTTTCTAAGCATTTTGAGAAGAAGTTGCTCTATTTCAGTTTGTTCTAGGTGATAATATTGTGTGGGTGTTGTGAACAGAACTGAGGTCAGAATGCAAGTCCTTCCGGGAGAATTACCCATGGGCCTGAAAACCATGTGGCCTTAACCTGGGGAGGGTTACGGAGCCGTTCAGGGGTTGGTCCCCACCCCTCTCCGGAGCGCAGACAGAATCCCCCATATTACAGACTGAGCCGGACCAGCCTTTTATGTTTTGTTGAATAGGAGGTAGATGGAGATTTAAGCTTCAGTGAATCAGATGCTAGCCTAGAATACATTCTCTCCCTCTGTTTGCATCTAGGTTTGCAACTAAGTCACTCAAACAAACAAACAAAAACGTGACAGCACCTAAGACGATGTCCTCAGTGGGAAAGTCAGCGACAGCTTTTCAGTTATTGTTCATAAACAGATATGTATACATTGTAAGCAACCAGGTTACCCTGGGAGGCTTAGCATAATTTTACTTCCTCGGGTCGAAAGAACATGCAGCTTTAAAAAGAAGTCTCGTGGCTTGGTGGAAACTTCGTCCTGCAAGTACGTGTTTCGCTTTGGAATGTCACGGATGTGCAGCTGGGTTTTGCTGCCTTTAATGCAGAGTTTTTAACGCATCCAGAGAACATGATACTTGTATGTTAGGACAACCTCCCTGCTGAGAAGTCTTGATGAGAACACTGTGTTCTTTAGGACAGCGTCTTGCCCTGTGATGTACAGAAGCAAGTTAAAGTTGCATTGTTTTTTCTAATGAAGAAAAAATATCTTCGAACATGATAGAAACACAACTAATTCCAGGCTCCTGTGTCCCTTCTTGATAATGACGGGAGGTCCATACTTTGGGGAGATTTTGTGTAAATCTGTGTATTGGGGGCAGTTTCTGCATTTTTTTTTTTAGGATGTAGGTCTCACTTTTGTTTTCCAGTTGCTGCCCATGCATAAAGTCTTCTAAAATCGGGAAGAGGCCAGAAAAAAATGATTCTAAACTTAGATGTTATTTTTTTAATTTTTTTTTTTTGTACTGGAGTGATGAAGCGCCAAAGGCATTTCTATTTGAGGAAGCTACATAGAAAGTGGCCTGTTGATGACAGCCGTGATCAGGAAAAGTCCTACAAAAGTGTATGTAAATTGGGGGCACGTCTGCCTCCCTCAGGATTGCTGAAGACGCAGTGGTGGCTGTTAGCGGTTGGAGAGCCCATGGTTCAGGGACGCGGAGGTCTCTGCAAGGTGCATGCACGAGGCGGGGGAGGGACACACAGCAGGGATGCTGCACCCGGACCCCTCCTGGACCAACCTGACATCCACCCATCCTGAGAGCGACCTGTAAACCCAGGAGCCTGTCTCCAGCCCCCTTTTCAAATTTCTAATATCTCACATCTTTTTTTTTTCTTCTTTCTTTCTTTTCCCTACCTCACTTTGAGACAGGTGGCCCCATGATGGCTTTGAAAAACACTCTTGTGGTTCATTTTCCTCCTGTATTAAGCACCTTTTCGTGCAGGATGTCTTCAGATGGCAGAGTTCTTAGCTGTGTTTTGGAAGGGCCTCCTCAGCTCTCCCCTGCCCCTTCCTCTTTTGCATATCAGTGCCTGCCCCTCGGTGGGGGGAAAAATGTGAGGACAGAATTGCACATCTGAGCTAATTTGCCCTCAGAGAGCTGGTTCACAGCAGAACAAACCACCAGAGGAGGCGTTTTTTTTCCTGTGGCTCAGTTAAATATGGGGGACGGGTGGGGGGAGGGTGAAATTCAAACTGAATTCCCCGCCATCCTGTTTAGATCTTGTTTGCATTGTTCTTGGGGGCCAGCCAGCATGTCTGCGGCGGCGTAAAGGTGACAACTGTGTGGATTGGCAGCTCATTTGGGGAAGCCGAAAGGAATCAGCGATGAAATAAGAGTGTTCAGAAGTTGTGAGGGTTCTCCTGACCTGTTTTGTTCAGTTGTTAAGGAAAACCCATCCGGTCCCCACTGCCCTAACCGGACACAAAGACCCCACATGTGCTTTCTCCGGGAGCGTTCCCTTTCTTAAGATACAGGGTGGTTCACGGTGATGCGATAGGTTTGCAAAAAGAAAGTCCACCGGTCTGAACATGAAAGGATGCTCTCTTGGCAGGCGTAGTGGGTTTTATTAAAGAC